TAGTCTATTGATATAGGTGTGCACATGAGAACGAACTTGGGATAGGAGGTTGGGATAACTAATTATTTACGTATACATGCTGAGACCATACCTTTCGATTATTGATTACTGTTTATTATTGAGATTAACATTTATTGCATAGTGGTGAGCACTACTTTTCCTCTTGTGCTCATCCCCACCTGCTCTTCATGGATGCAGGTTAGATAGAGCGGCACGACAGAAGGGATGCGAGTGGTGGTCTTTAATTTGAATAAATGCTTCCGCTTTGAACTGAGTTTGGACATTATTGCATTATTAATGATTATCGTTTTCTAGCATTGGAATACTGGATTGTTGATAGGGTTTATTTCCCTAGATCATTATTGGATTATTATTGCATTATTGAGATTATATTATTGATTATGAGTATTGATAATTGCCGAGTATTGAGAAATTGATGAGTATTGATTATTGTTTTGAAGAAGAGTAGCGCCTCAAATATTGTTTTTGAAAATAAATTTCGAAAAATTTATTCTGATTTCCGGTAAATAAAAGTGGGGCGTTACACTGATCCCCGGTGATCTCCCCTACGTTTTCGCCCACCGGATATTTGATCGTCATGTGGTACGTGGATACGACCACCTGGAATGCATTCAAGCTTGTCCGCCCCATGATGATGTTATAGGACGACTCAGCCCCTACAATCACAAATCTCACCATACGCACCTTTCTCAACTCTCCTGATCCCAATGCCACGGGCAAACTGACCTCTCCCATCGGCATAACTTCTCCCCCATTAAAGCCGTAAAGGGCCGTGGTCACCGGTTTCAGCTCCATATTCAGCTCCTTGTTAATCTGCGCAAAACAGTCGTAGAACATCACAACTACCGAACTCCCGGTATCAATGAATACCCTTTTCACGTCGAAGCCTACAACCTCCGCGGTTATCACCAAGGCGTCATTGTGCGGCAGGACCACTCCCTCGGCATCCTCCGCCTTAAAACTTATCACCGGCATGCGGGCCGTGATACTCACTTCTTCCCTCTTCCTTTTCATTGCTCGAATATGGCCTCTCCTCGCATTATTCGAGTCCCCGTCAGTCGGTCCTCCTGAAATCATATATATCGTGCCTCTCTTTACTTGGCCTCCATCTCCTTCTCTTTCCCGCTCTCTACTTCCTCGCCTCCTCTTCCCCTCATCTCTTTTTCGACCATCTCGACCACCTCGCGCATCGTCATCATCATCTTCCTCACTCCTCTCTACCGAGTCCTCCCGACACCTTCTCTTCTCCTTCCTCCTCCCCTTATCCTGATAGACAAACTCCTTGAGATGCCCTGCTCGAATAAGGCGCTCAATCTCGTCCTTGAGATGCCGACAATCCTCAGTAGTATGGCCATAGTCCTTGTGGAAGCGGCAATATCTCCTCGACTTCGGTTGGGTGGGCCCCTCGAACCTCGACCTTGGCCACGTCACATCTTTCCCATCTATCCCTTTCTCCATGGCCATCAGAACCTCGGCTACCTTCGCGTTCAATGGGGTGTAATCATGGAATCTCTTCCCTCCAGAGATAGGTCGTTCCTTCCACCTGTCCTCTCGCCCTCGATCTTGCTTAGCTCGCCCCTCCCTCCTGGGCGAGGCTTTCCTTTTAGGCGAAACTACTTTCTCCTTCCTCGACTCCCCTCGACCTAGCTCTTCTAGTTTGGCAAATTCCGCCTCAGTCTCCTTGAGATTGATATATTTCCTGCACCTCCTCAATACCTCATCATATGTGTGAGCAGGAGTCTTAGCCAGAGAAGTCCGACACGGTCCTGCCCGCAAACTCCTTATCAGTCCTCCCGCCTTGACCTCGTCGACCGCCGATGGAATCTCCAAACAAGCCTGATTGTATCGAGCGACATATTTACGCAGTGACTCCTTCTCGCCTTGTCTCATCGCCATCAATGTCAAATACGTTTTCTCCTGAGCCACCGCGCTCGAATATTGATTTGTCAACTTCTCCGCAAAATCCTCAAAGTCCACTATCGAGCCTGGGGGGAGCTGTTGGAACCAGTCGAGCGCCCCTCCCCTAAGGGTCGATAAAAAGGCCCTGCAACTAACGGGGTCAGTATATCCGTGCTACACAGCCATATTTTCAAATGTCCTCACGTGTCTCGACGGGTCAGAAGTCCCATCGAACACCAAGTTGGTATCCTTGTAATTATTTGGCAAGGGTGCTGCTAGTATGTCTGCCGAGAACGGGTGTCCTCGAGTGCGCCTCTCTACTCGACCATCCACCTTAGCCTGCAATTGGCGCAGCTGTTCCGCCATCCTCCCCATCTCCCGGTCATGTGTGGGCCCACCTCCACCATAGCTGGACTCATCCTCCTCCGCGTTTTGGCGTGACCCTGCAATAGTGTTCGGCATCGCCGTAGCCCGAGAGAGACTGTTTGTGACTTGATGAACTGCTTGCGCGGCCGCCTCCGCCACCATTTGTTGCATCTCCTACCTGGTCATTATCACCTGCTGTTCGGGGGCCTGAACCACTGCTCGCAGTGATGCTCCTCCTTGGGCCACCGCTCTTTCGGGTTGCATCCCCGTTCCTCCCGGTTGCGCCACCATCGCTCCCAGTTGCACCCCCCTACTCCTGGTTGCGCTGCCATTGAGCTGTGTGGTGGTGGTGGTGGCATCGCCGCCGCGTCCGCTGAGTGGGCCTCGTGAGCCCGGTTGGGGCCAGCGTCTCCTCCGGGAATCGCCGTTGCCACTCCCACACCTTGGAGCACAGGTACTGGAGTGATCGGCGTCTGCGATGGGCCAAAAAAACCCGGGGGAGGACCCTGTCCCAACGGCCTGGTCGTTGTCCAAGCATCATCGAACGTTGACTGTAAGTTTTTGGGAATTCCGTCCGCCATAGCTGAGCTTCAAGCACAATTTTTCAAACGAAAGTCCCACAGACTGCGCCAAATGGTAACACAAAACTTCTCGACCGGCTGGAACTTGAGTAATCGCCTTCCTTCTCACCGGTTGAACGTCGTGCACCTACAAAGAACTCTCACACCGGAGGGGTTTTCCGGTGAAGAGCCTCCGAAGCTTAAGTCAGTGTATGTTCAATCAATTCTCAAGAGTACGTAGTAGAATGATCGTGTTGAAGAAGAAAGACTCACCCCCTTTATATAGGGGTGAGATACCTGACCTAGGGCTGCCCGAATTTGATGAGCTGTCTGCCCTAACTGCCCGTCCGTACACACCAAACGCGTGTGTCAGAGGTAGCCGTCGCCACTATCGCCTGCACCAATCCTCTTTGGACGCGTGTCCTCCTGCACATGGGGTAGGCTGTCAAGAGGTGGTTATCGCTATCCACCACTGCCTTCTCGACACGTGTCCCCCTGCAAATGGGGTAAATATTCTTCTGGAATTCTGTCAGAAGCTCCTTCACGCGCCTATGACTAGGCCGAACAGCGTGGTGTTAAGTCCTCGAAGTAATCGACCTGTTGAGGTCGAATAGGTTGCTCGATCGTGTATCTGGTCGAAGGATAGTTTGGTCGACGGATTTGCTTGGTCGACTGGTTAACTGCTCGATTTATTTGACTTCCTCATAATACGACCTCCTCGACCGGTCAATAGACCGGTTCAGCCTTGTGGGTATAATATCCTATATCAATCTCCATCGCTGCTCGCACCTTCTCGGGATTCACCTCAATACCTCTCTTGGTCACTAAGTAACCCAAGAATTTTCCTGATTTTACCCCAAAAGAGCACTTGGCTGGGTTTAGCTTCATCCCATACCTTTTTAATGTTAAGAACGTCTCTTTCAGGTCCCGCACGTGATCCATCTCCTCCTTACTCTTCACCAACATATCATCCATATATACTTCCATGTTCCTCCCAAGCTGTTCTTTAAAAATTTTATCGACCAACCTTTGATACGTGGCGCCCGCGTTTTTTAGGCCGAACGGCATCACCACGTAACAATAGGTTCCCCGACTCGTTACGAAACTCACCTGTTTCCTATCTTCTCTCTCCAAGGGAATTTGGTGGTACCCCTGGGAGGCATCCATTAAGCTCAGCAATTCGCACCCTGCCGTTGAGCCGACCAGCTGGTCGATTCTGGGTAGTGGGTATAAATCCTTCTGGCATTCTTTGTTTAGATCGCGGAAATCAATGCACATTCTCTATTTTCCCTCCACTTTTGACACCATCACCGTATTTGACAACCATTCGGGGAACTGGATCTCCTTGATATGCCCCGCTCCCAATAACTTTACGACCTCCTTCTCAATAATTTTGTCCATCTCCGCCCCGTGGTGTCTCCTTTTTTGTTTCACCGGCCTCACACTGAGGTCGATATTTAGACGATGCTCGATCACCTCCGCGCTTATTCCTGTCAATTCCTCCGTAGTGTAAGCAAAAATATAAGCAAACTCCCTCACCAGATCGATTAACTTTGACCGGATAGGCTCCTCCAAATGTTTCCTAATTCTAAACTTCCTCTCCTCATATCCTTCGACCATCTGGATCTCCTCCACCTCTCCTCCTGGCTAGATATCCACCTTCTTCTTACCCTTCTCTGCTCTCTGCCTATCCTCCTTCGTCCTCGACCCACATGGTCGGTTAGTCTCCTCCCCTTTTGGCTTGGCCTGCCTCTTCGCCAACTGTTTGTTGTTGCTCACCGTGGTTTGGTAACAACTCCTCGAGGTAAGTTGATCCCCAGCGATCTCTCCAACGTTTTCGCCCACAGGATACTTGATCGTCATGTGGTACATGGATACTATCGTCTGGAATGCATTCAAGCTTGTTCTCCCCATTATGATGTTGTAGGATGATTCTGCCCCTACGACCATAAACCTCACCATCCATACTTTCCTCATCACTCCTGATCCCAACGCCACGGGCAGGCTGATCTCACCCATCGGCATAACCTCTCCTCCGTTAAAGCCGTACAGCGCCGTGGCCACTAGTTTCAGCTACATGTTCAGCTCTTTGTTGATCTGCACAAAACAGTCATAAAACATCACATCTACCGAACTCTCGGTATCAATAAGAACCCTTTTTACATCAAAGCCCGTAACCTCTGCGGTAATCACAAGAGCATCATTATGTGGTAAGACCACTCCCTCAGCATCCTCCGCTTTAAAACTTATCACCGGCATGCGAGCCGTAATCCCCACCTCCTCTCTCTTCCTCTTCACAGCTCGAGCATTCTCCTTCCTAGCGTTGTTCGAGTTGCCATCTGTCGGCCCTCCAGAAATCATATAAATCGTCCCTCTCTTCAACGGGGCTTCTCTTCCTTGACCTCCTTTATCTCCATCTCCCCTCGACCTCTTTTCTCGACCATCTTGACCATCCCTATCATCCCCCTCATCATCTCTATCACTCCTCTCTTCCGAATCATCTCGACATCTTCTCCTTCCTTTCTCCTTCGCCCTCTCATGGTACACAAATATTTTTAAATGCCCCGCACGAATCAACCTTTCGATCTCATCCTTCAAATGTCTACAATTCTCTGTGGAATGGCTGTAATCTCGATGAAACCGAAAATAAATATCTGACCTGGGTGGAATCGGGCTCGTAAACCTCGTCTTTGGCCACGTCACATCCTCGCTCGACATCTTCTGCTGCATAGCCTCGAGCACTTCTGTCAAATCTTTCCTCAAAGGTGTAAAATTATGATACCTCTGTCTCTCAAACAACAATGGCCTTTCCTGCCACCTATCATCCCTTTTCTCCTGTTTCGAATCTCGACCCCCTCTTCTGGGCGATGTTCTCTTCGGCCCACTTCTCTTGGGCGAATTCCTCCTCGGCGATCTCCCCCTTTGTGGGCTCTTCTCTTTCTTTGGCTCTGGTCGAGCCACCCCCTCCAATTTCGCAAATTCTACCTTCATCTCCTCCAGATTAATATACTTCTGGCACCTCTTCAAAACATCCTCATATGATCGAGCAGGGGTCTTCGCCAGGGAAGTTCGGCAAGGCCCTGCTCGAAGGCTCCTTATCAATCCTCCTGCCTTTACCTCATCTGACGCTAAGTGTACCTCCAAACACGTCTGATTGTATCGAACGACATACTTCCTCAACGACTCCTTCTCTCCCTGCCTCATCGCCATCAGAGTCAAATATGTCTTCTCCTGTACCACAGCGCTCGAATACTGGTTGGTAAGCTTACTGGCAAAATCCTCAAAGTCCGTGATCGACCCAGGGGGTAACTGATGAAACCAGTCAAGTGCTCCTCCACACAAGGTCGATAGAAATGCCCTGCAACATACAGAATCAGAATATCCATGTAACACAACCATATTCTCAAAGGTCCTCACATGCCTCGATGGGCCAGACGACCCGTCATACACCAGATTAGTCTCCTCGAAATTATTCGGTAAAGGAGCAGCAAGAATCTCCCTCGAGAAAGGATGTCCTCGAGCTCTCCCCTCCGGCCTCCCCTCAACCTTGTCCTGCAACTGGCGCAACTACTCTACCATTCTCTCCATCGCACGATCTCTTCCATCTCCTCCATCTCCATAACTGGACACATCCACGTCCTGGCTTTCCACTACCGTGGTCGGCGCAGTGGTGGCATGAGATGTGTGGCTCGTGACCTGCTGTACCGCCTGCGCCGCCGCGGCTGCCGCTATCCTCTGCATCTCCTCCCTGGTTATCGTCGCCATCTGTTTACCGGGAGCTTGTGTAACTGCCTGTGGTGAAGCTCCTCCTTGTGTCTCCGCTGCTCCTGGTTGCACCACCACGGGATTTTGGAGCGGCGGCGGTGGCATCACCGCCGCAGCTGCTGCGCGAGCCTCCTGAGCACGACTGGAGCCAGCATCTTCTCCGGGAATCACTGTCGTGGCTCCTACACCTTGAAGGACAGGTATAGGAGTGATCAGCATCAGCGATGGGCCAGAAAAACCCAGAGGAGGGCCTTGCCCAATCGGCCTGGTCGTTGTCCAAGCGTCGTCGAACGTCGACTGCAAGTATTTGGGAATTCCATCCGCCATGGCTAAGCTTCAAACACAACTTCTCAAACGAAGTCCCCACAGACGGCGCCAATAATGCAAGTGTGAAAGTCCTGGTCTGGTTTGGAATAGATCGATTCTCGTCCTCGTCGGTAAAACGTCGAAAACCTGAAAATAACTCTCACACCGGGGGTTGTGTCCGGTGAAGAGCCTCCGATGCTTAAGTCAGTATGTGTATGAGTATACTAAAGTGAATAATGGAAAAATCGTTTTAAGGGAAAAAGGCTCACCCCCTTTATATAAGGGTGAGATGTCTGCCTTAATAGCTGCTCAAATAAGGTGAGCTGGCTGCCCAAGCTGCCCGTCCGTACTCTGACACGCCGCGCACATGTCAGAGGTGGCGCGGGGCGTTGGGAGCTGTCAGAGGTGGTTATCGATATCAACCACTATATTCTCGACATGTGTCCTCCTGCACATGGGGTAAGTATTCTCCTGAAATTCGGTTAGAGGATCTTACACGCGCCTTTGACTAGGCCGATCTCGCGAAGTGCTCGGTCCACGAAGTGGTCGACCGATCGAGGTCGATTGAACTGCTCGACTGAACTGCTTGACCGTTCATCTGGTCGAGTTATAGATTGGTCGACTGTTTAGTTGGTCGACTGATTAACTGCTAGATTTTCTCGACTTCCCCACGGTATGACCTCCTCGACCGATCAGCAGACCTATTTAGCCTTGTGGGTATAATATCCTATATCAAACTCTCACACCGGGGGTTGTGTCCAGTGAAGAGCCTCCGATGCTTAAGTCAATATGTGTATGAGTATATTGAAGTGAATAATGGAAAAATCGTGTTGAAGAAGAAAGGCTTACCCCCTTTATATAGGGGTGAGATACCTGACCTAGGGCTGCCCGAATTTGGTGAGCTGTCTGCCCTAACTGCCCGTCCGTACATACAATACGCGTGTGTCAGAGGTAGCCGTCACCACTATCGCCTGCACCAATATTCTTTGGACGCGTGTCCTCCTGCACATGGGGTAGGCTTTCAGAGGTGGTTGTTGCTGTCAACCAATGTGCTCTCGACACGTGTCTTCCTACACATGGGATGAATATTCTTCTGAAATTTCATTAAAATTTCATTAGAGGCTCTTTCACGCGCCTGTGACTAAGCCGATCTATGAGGTGTTCAGTCCGCGAAGTGGTCGATCGATCGAGGTCGACGGAACTGCTTCACCGTTCATCTGGTCGAAGGATAGATTGGTCGACTGGTTAACTACTCGATTTCCTCGAATTCCCCTCAGTATGACCTCCTCGACCGGTCAGCAGACCGGTTTAGCCTTGTGGGTATAATATCCTATATCAGACTCATTATTGTGCATATCACAAATCTCCGGGACACAACACCGACGAGTGCCTCGGCTTGCTATCAGCTCTCCTTCGCTTGATTGGACAACCCCAACTTCAAAAGTTCAGGAACTTTGACGCCCGTCGCAAAGGAAGACCTGCAGACATGTCGGATGAAGAAGACAATGATGACCGAGGTGCCAACGCAAAGAGGATTCGCATGACCGACAAGGAAGTCTTCATCTTTTCGAATATCATCGGGACTTCGCCCATGGAGAGTAAAAAAGCTAGAATATGTACTTCACCAAGGTTTCCGCATTATAATTTTATACCTCGAGCGAATACTAATGCTAAACAGCTTGACATCTCCCGACGTAAAGCCAAAGCCTATGCCCGAGAAGCACAGAATACCGGGAAACAAGTGTTAAATGTTGATCTTCGAGATACCATCAACAATCGAAATTGTCCTATCACTTTCAACATAGCAGATGCTAATTTATTCGCTCATCCACATTCGAACACTCTTATCATCACTGCCCCGATTGGAGGAATTCCTGTTCATCGGATTATGGTTGACACTGGGGCCTATTCAAGCATCCTAATGCTCCAAACCTTCAAGAAGATGGGCTTGGGTCCAGCCGACATCCATCCCTGTAATGATCAAATTCAAGGCTTTAACGGAAGCATCTCTTGCCCACTCGGTGAAGTTCAGCTCCCTATTCGGTTCGGAGGATTCGAACCTTAAATTAAAGATTATCATGGACACCTTTAAGATCATGGATATCCAAAATGAATATAACGCTATTGTAGGATGTACTGCTCTCTATAAGCTTCGAGTCGCTATCTCCATTTTCCATTACGCATTAAAGTTTCCTACGATTGAAGGAGAAGGTACTCATTATGGGGATTAGCGAGAAGCGAAACCTGGATTTAACCCTAACTTCACGAGGTACCCATACATTTGAAGCAAAAGAAATCGGTGATCGTGATCAAGGTAACACCATGAATCATATACCCTCCAATACCAATGTGACAAATTCTTTTGTCCCGGACACCTACATCTCGTCAGTATCCGATGCCGACATCCCCATGACGTTGGGATCATCTGACACATCAAGCAAAGACCAAGCCTGGGAACAACGTCCTGGCAAAGAGATTTTTCAGACCCAAGACGATATAGATCCCAGGTTGCAATTTAAAGACAAAAGTAAATATGTCCAGACGGAACCTGTTGAAGATGTTGAAATTATCCATATAGATGGGTCGACTCAGGAAAGGCCGTTACGTATCGGGGCCAATCTTCAAGAACCTCTTCGTTCTCGGCTAATTCATTTTCTTCAATCAAACCCGACGTGTTCGCGTGAAAACATGAAGACATGAAGGGAATTGACCCCCAAAAGGCTTGTCATCGGCTCAACCTTGACAAGACTGTCAAATCGGTCATCCAAAAACGTCGAAAATTTGGACCTGAGCGCCAAAAAGCCCTAGAAGAAGAAGTAAACAAACTCATCAACGACAAATTTGTCAAAGAAGCTAAATACCCGACTTGGATATCAAACCCCGTGCTGGTCAAGAAAAGCAATGGCTTGTGGCGCCTATGCATTGATTTCTCGGATCTGAATAAAGCGTGTCCAAAAGATAGATATCATGTTCCACACATCGATTACATGGTGGACGCCACTTCTGGCCATCAACTGATGAGTTTCTTGGATGCTTACTCTGGCTATAATCAAATCCCCATGCATCTGGATGATGCTGAACACACTTCGTTTTACTCAGCTCGTGGCCTCTATTGCTATGTCATGATGCCTTTTGGATTAAAGAATGTCGGGCCACATATCAAAGGTTAGTCAATAAAATGTTTGCCAACATAATCGGGCACACGATGGAGGTTTACATAGATGACATGTTGGTGAAGTCGGAACAAGAAACCGATCATATTGCCCACATCACCGACGTCTTTAACATCCTCCGTGAGTACTCGATGGTGCTCAATCCGAAGAAATGTACCTTCGGAGTCGGCTCGAGAAAGTTCTTAGGGTACATGGTAAGCCAGAGAGGTATTGAAGCCAACCCGGCGAAAATTCAAGCTATACTTGACTTGGTTCCACCGACATCTGTTAAAGGCGTCTAAGCACTGACCGGCCGACTAGCCGCCCTAAACCGATTCATCTCGAAGTCAACTGATCATTGTAAGCCTTTCTTTGACGCAATTAAGAAGAAGAAGCAATTTGAGTGGACAGCTGAATGCCAAAACGCCTTCGATAACATTAAAGAAGTCCTCTCACGACCCCCGACTTTGAAAAAAACTACTCCGAATGAGCCGCTATATTTGTACTTGGGAGTCAGTGATGTCACTATTAGCGCCGTCCTCATACGACAAGACGGGCTCCAACAGTTTTCTGTGTATTACACCAGCAAAGCCTTGCATGACGCCGAGTTGCGGTATCCTCATATGGAGAAGTTGGCATCTGCTTTTATTACCGCTGCCCGCAAACTTCGGCCGTACTTCTTGGAACATCCCATCATTGTGTTCACTTCGTATCCTCTACGGAAAATTCTCCACCGACCTGACACGTCCGGTAAAATGATTAAGTGGCCTATAGAGCTCGGGCAATTTGACATTCAGTATCAACCACGGACTGCTATCAAGGCTCAAATGTTGTCCGATTTCATAGCCGAGTTCACCCCACCAATAGAAGTATCAATTGAAGACCCAACATGAACTCTTTACGTTGACGGGTCGTCCATTACCATACGCGACGGAGGAGGCATTGTATTGGTTAGTCCCAATCAACAACTTTTTTGTTATTCGGTGGCATTTCTATTTCCCGCTACTAACAGTGAAGTCGAGTACGAAGCTCTGATATCGGGATTACTAACAATGAAGCCGAGTACGAAGCTCTAAATCCATGAACGTTTCCTCGCTTCGGATATTTTCCGATTCTCAATTGCTCGTGAGCCACATCAATGGTGTTTATGACATCAAGGAACCTCGATTAGTCCCTTATTGAACTTGTCAAGAAGAAGCTGTTAAAAATTTAAGATGACATTGGAACATATACCCCGAACGTTGAATATCCAAGTGGACGCTCTCTCGCGTCTGGCTTCTTCCACCGACTTGAAAAACGTTGAATTCGTGCAAGTAACCCAACAGGCGACACCTTCAACAGCAGTTACCGAAGTCTCAATGACCGACGTCGTCCAAACCACTGAAAATCTGACGTGGATGGATCCCATTAAAGATTACCTACAAACCGGGGCCGAACCTGATGACCCAAAGGATGCTCGTGCTCTTTGTGTTCGCGCGGCTCACTTCACAGTAGATGACGAAATCTTGTACAAGCGTGGATACTCAGCTCCCTTGCTTAGATGCTTGTCAGAAACTGAATCTCGACGTGTCCTAGAAGAAGTCCACGAAGGTACCTGCGGCAATCACCAAGGAGCGCAAACCTTGTCTTATAGAATACTCTGGCAAGGGTATTACTGGCCAAATCTCAAGAGAGATGCCACTGAGTGGGTATGGAAGTGTCGCAAATGTCAAATATTCGCTCCTAACGTTAATCAATACCCAGAACCCTTGAAGTCAGTCTTTAGCCCTTGGCCGTTCGCGAAGTGGGGAATC